GGTTTCCTCCTGTGTGAGTCCTCTGGTGGATCACCAGATCAGAATGGTAACTGAAACTTTTCCCACAATCTGCACACTTGTGTGGTTTGTCTCCTGTGTGAGTCTTTTGGTGTTTCACCAGAGAGGAATTAAGACTGAAGTTTTTCCCACAATCAGGACATTCAAAGGGTTTCTCCCCTGTGTGATTCCTCTGGTGGTTCACCAGGCTGGAATTCCGACTGAAACTTTTCCCACAATCAGAACATTCAAAGGGTTTCTCTCCTGTGTGAGTCTTTTGGTGTTTCACCAGAGAGGAATTGTCACTGAAACCTTTCCCACAATCAGGACATTCAAAGGGTTTCTCTCCTGTGTGAGTCCTCTGGTGTTTCACCAGGCTGGAATTGTCACTGAAACCTTTCCCACAATCAGGACATTCAAAGGGTTTCTCCCCTGTGTGAGTCCTCTGGTGTTTCACCAGGCTGGAATTCTCACTGAAACCTTTCCCACAATCAGGACATTCAAAGGGTTTCTCCCCTGTGTGAGTCCTCTGGTGGTTCACTAGGTTGGATTTATGACTGAAACTTTTCCCACACTCAGGACATTCAAAGGGTTTCTCTCCTGTGTGAGTCCTCTGGTGTATCACCAGGTGGGAATTTGCTCTGAAACGTTTCCCACAATCTGGACACTCATATGGTTTCTCCCTGGTGTGAGTCCTCTGGTGGATAATGAGGTGGGAATTCTGTCTGAAACTTCTCCCATAATCAGGACATTCAAAGGGTTTTTCTCCAGTGTGAGTCCTCTGGTGTTTCACCAGGTGGGAATTCTGTCTGAAACTTTTCCCACACTCAGGACATTCAAAGGGTTTTTCTCCTGTGTGAATCCTCTGGTGGCTCACCAGGTTAAAATGGTGACTGAAATTTTTCCCACAATCTGGACACTCATATGGTTTCTCTCCTGTGTGAGTCCTCTGGTGTATCAGCAGGTTGGAATTGAGAGTGAAGTTTTTCCCACAATCAGGACATTCAAAGGGTTTCTCTCCTGTGTGAATCCTCTGGTGGCTCACCAGGCTGGAATTTTGACTGAAACTTTTCCCACACTCAGGACATTCAAAGGGTTTCTCTCCTGTGTGAGTCCTCTGGTGGCTCACCAGGTCAGAACGGTAACTGAAATTTTTCCCACAATCTGGACACTCATATGGTTTCTCTCCTGTATGAGTCCTCTGGTGGTTCACCAGGTTAGAACGGTAACTGAAACGTTTCCCACAATCTGGACACTTGTGTGGTTTGTCTCCTGTGTGAATCTTTTGGTGTTTCAGCAGACTGGAATTGAGACTGAAGTTTTTCCCACAATCAGGACATTCAAAAGGTTTGTCCCCTGTGTGAATCCTCTGGTGGTTTACCAGGTGACAACGGTAATGGAAATGTTTCCCACAATCTTGACACTCGAAAGGTTTCTTTCCTGTGTGAGTCCTCTGGTGGTTCTCCAGGCTGGAATTGAGACTGAAACTTTTCCCACAATGTGGACATTGAAAAGGTTTTTCAGGACATTGAAAAAATTTTTTAAGACATTCAAAGGGTTTCTCTTCTGTGTGAGTCCTCTGGTGTATCACCAGGTGGGAATTTGCTGTGAAACTTTTCCTACAATCTGGACACTCATATGGTTTCTCCCTGGTGTGAGTCCAACTGAACAAAGTTGCCATGCTTGCAAAAGCATTTACCACATTGGGAGCAGTTGTAGGGCATCTCTACTATGAGGATCTTTCTATGAATTGCAAGGGAGCTATTCTGACTAAAGTTTTGCCACATTCAGAGTATTTATATGGCTTTTGTTCAGTGTGGATCCTCTTGTGATTTGAACTCTTTACTTTTCCCACAATAGGCAAATCTATGGAGCTTTTCCATCACTGACATTCTTGAGGAGGTCAAAAATAAGTGTGATTCCTTATTTTGTTCGTGCCTGCATTTCTTGCTGCCATATGTGACTATGCAATTGACATTTTGTTCCCCACTGGCTTCCAGATATTTCCCTCTTTTTCTGAACGGAAAAATGATCTCCTTCGACCTTTTCGAGTAATGTATTCTTAAATTCTATATAATCTACTTTTCCCAGCTGCAAATCTCTTCATGATTTTCTCTTTTCTGTCTCTTATCTGCTGATGAAGTAGACAAATTCTGTGGTTTTCTGAAGCAAATTGAAAATATTTTTTATTTCTGCTTCAATTTGCTTTGCTTTTCAGTGTTGCTTGTTATTCTCAGTTGTCCAGTGTGCTTATGTTGGCATCCTCTTTGTCTGTAAGATTCAAAAGAAAGTGTAAGTTTTATAGTTTATGAAAGGGTTGCAGAAGATGTGAAAAAAAGAAGTACAGGTAATCCTTTAGGTACGACAGGCCATTCAACGACTGCTTGAAGTTACAACACTCCCCCAAATGCTAAATACGAATCCGCTCCAAAGTTGAATTTTTGCAGTGCCTCCCACACCGGGAGTCCTTGACTCCTTCATTGCAGAGATGCTGCAGCATACCCACCCACCTATTTCCCTTCCATCTTGCCCAGTCAGTCCTCACAATCCCCAGACCCCAGTATGTTGGCCTGCTTTGCAATATACTATGCATTCCTCCCCAACCCCACTCCCCCATCACCATTCACTTACTAAATTTCTGACGAGCTCAGGAAGTCAGCTGGGCCACGTGGCATAAGCAAGAAGAAGAAAGATAAACTCTTTTCTTTCCATGGGAATCCTTTCACTCCAGCCAGCATTAGTGATTTACCCTGGCTGAGGAGGAAAGGATTGCCATGGAAGCAAAAGAGATGAGAATTCTTCTTTGCTCTACCAGCACAACACTAATGTAAAGCTAGTGCTAGTGCGGCTAAGAAGAAATCAGGCCTATTTTGGTTCCGTTGCAATCCTTTTCTTTTCAATCAGCATAAACTACTATGATTTCTTCTTAGCTACACCAGCACTAGTTTTATGCTGGCAAAGAGATCTAAGAAGTTATTTTTGTAGTTTACCCTGGCTGGGGAGGAAAGGATTGTCATTGAAACAAGAGATCAGATGTCTTCTTTGCTCTATCAGCGCTAACTTTACGATAGTCTTATGCTGGTAGAGCAAAGAAGAAATCCCATCTCTTTTGTTTCCATGCCAATGATCCCAAGCTCAACAGCAAATCTACAGCAGAATGGCTGAAAAAGAAAAGAATCAAGGTTTGCAATAGCAAAGTTCAGACTTCACCCCAATTGAAATGCTGTGGTGGGACCTCTAGAGAGCTAGGCATAAACAAATGCCCACAAACCTCAATGAACTGAAACAATGTTGTAAAGAACAGTGGGCAAAAATTCCTCCACAAGAATGCAAGAGACTGTTTTTGGTCATACAGAAAACAATTAAATAGTATAGGATAGGTCAAAGCTTCTAGAGGCGATATCCAACAAGGTACTTTGGTATAATATATTTTACTAAACTTCTCCCAACTCCGAATTAAAATATTCCTTATATAGTGCCGAGTGAACCATTTACTTTGGGGGGCATTGTCCTGCCGGAGTGCCGCATGCCAACCTTGTTGCAAGTCGTGGCCTTCTATCCTAAGAAGACGCTTGTTCCTTAAAATAATCCATTCTTTAACCCAAACTAGTAAGGCGGCTAAATAATAATTCTCCCAGCATGGTAAACCAAGACCCCCTCTTTCTTTTGTCTCCTGCATCATTTTCTTTTTAATACGGGGTTTTTTCCCTTGCCATACAAATTTGGTTACTAACTGGTTTAGATCTGTAAAAAATTTATTTGATAGATTCGCTGGAGCTGTTTGAAAAAGAAAATTAAATGTTGGTAGAACATAAGATTTTATTGTTGCTACCCTTCCCAAGAGTGATAATTGAATTTTACCCCACTTATCAAGATCTTTCCTTACCTGAGTTAGTATTTTAGTATAATTATCCTCCTGGATGCTCGAGCATCTACATGTTAACCAAATTCCCAGGTACTTGACTTTACTAACTACTCTAAGTCCTTTGCTTCCTCTAGATCCTGCTTGCCTTTCTCTGAGATATTCTTAGTTAAAATATTCATCTTCTTTTTATTAATTAACAGACCTGCTACAGCCCCAAATTCCTCAATTTTTTCCAGTAAGGATATGCCTGATTTTAAAGGGTCTTCCAAGATAAAGGCCATATCATCTGCGAAGGCCTGGGTCTTCTATGTCTGATCTCTAATTTTAAGTGGTGTGTGTGCATGAACCATTAGCAAACCCACCTTTGATGATGACGTGATGTAATATGTCATGTGTTGTTGTTCGTCTGAAGTTGTATTCACCTATTTTTAAGAGCGTACAGACCAGATGATTTTTAGTATGTCCTGATACATAAAATCATACAACTCAAAGAGGGTGTACTTTGTTTTTAACATGATTGAATATCTAGAAGCACTGGGGATAGATTATCCAACTGCAGAGAGAATTACATTTACACCTACAAATGTATATATGTGAAAAATCCATGTTTTCAGCCTGAAAAATGTCCCAAAATGGTTACAATTAAACCTTCTGAGCTAAATTTAGAGATGTGGGGGCTTTAACTGATGAAATGATGCCTAAAGCCTCTGCAGAATTTAAAACACCAGTTACACCGATGGAAGTCCTCAGCTCCAAATAAGAAAATACTGTCCTCCTGTCCACAATTCCTCTGGTGACATCCCCTTTCAAGGAGTCCTCACATTTGGGACTGGGATCTATGTCACTAAGCAGCCCGATCATAAAGCATGATGTCACATTAACTGCCAACTTACATCTGTTCCTCTGGAGTTGGTAAGCAAACCACTGTGGGTTGTTAAAGGCAATTTCACATGACTGTCACTTGCAATTTCTTGCCATCCTCACTAACTTTGCCTATGAGAAACAAGCTGGGAAGGTCAAAAATGGGGATCATGATGGTGGGATGTTGTGACCATCATAAATGTGCATCGGTTGGCAGCATTCAAACCAAATAGCCCAACTTGCTTCTGGCCTCTCCTCCAACTTGCCCTCAACTCACCTTCCAGGTGATGCTTCAACTTTTGGAAGAGCCCAAAAGCCGCTCTGCAAGCCACCTTCCACCCATGAGGGATCCGATACAGGAAGTTCCTCTGGGCTTCTCTTCTTCCTCAATCCCTTCTAGCAATACAGTACTTGATGGTTTTAACTCCTTTAAGGATCAACCACAGATGCAGCTACTGTATTGACGGCTTTGTAGGCGCAGAAGTGACCGCCATCTCCTGACCGGAGGCGAAAAAACACGCTTGTCCCGTCTCTGCCTAAGGCGTTTGCAAGATGTTGTCACTGATTATATGCTATCAAGTTGTTTTAGACTCCCAGCAACCTATCTTTGCAACAGAAACAAATAAAAGAGTGAAATGTGAAGCTACTTAAGATTCTGAAGATTAGCTACATGCTGAGCCCTAAATGTTTTTTTTTATTAAAAAGTTTTAAAATGTTTTACAAACAAATTCCCCACCTTTCCCCCCTTCCCCTCTCCCTCCCCCCCCTCCGACTTCCCAGAGCAAAATACAGGGTATTGCATTTAACAAACATAATCTAACATAAGCAAACTAACTATAAGCTCTTAACTTCCCCTTACTCTTTAACTCCGCCATAGGTACTAAAATGTCAAAGTAAAAAGAAAAATCATCTAAATATTTCATTCATAAGCTATTTGCAACTTTTTAGTCCCGTATTTGTTTTGTATATAGTCAATCCATCTTCTCCATTCCAGTACATATCTTTCATTCGAACGGTCCTTCAAATATGCAGAGATTTTAGCCATCTCTGTCAAATTAGCTACTTTTAATGTCCATTCTTCAATAGTAGGTATTTCTTCCTTCTTCCAATATTGCGCCACCAAAAGTCTGCCTACAGACTTAAATTCAAAATCAGATTAGTCTCTATAACTGTACATCCTTCGATTATACCCAATAAAAACAACTGTGGAGTAAATTTTATCTTCCTTTTAAGAATATTTTGTATAATCCACCATATCTTAATCCAAAATGCCTTAATTTTCTTACATGTCCACCATACATGAAAATACATTGCATCATGACGTTTACATCTCCAACATGTAGATTGTAAACTCGGGTACATACAGGCTAACTTTTGGGGATCTAAATGCCATCTATAAAACATTTTGTAGAAATTTTCCCTTAGATTTTGGGCTTGAGTAAACTTCACATTTCTAACCCATATTTTCTCCCATACATCCATGGTTATTGATTCCCCAAAGTTTTGTGCCCATTTTATCATACAATCCTTCACTAACTCAGTTTCTGAATCTATTTCTATCAATGCATTATACAACCTTTTAATATGCATTGGACTTTGATCCCTGATTTGTTTTATTAGGTTTTCTTCATTTTGCAAAATGCCAATTTTCTGATCTTCTTTCCACCTAGTATACAACTGCCCATACTGAAACCAGGTTTGAATTTTCCTTTCTTCCTTTAATACTTCTAAAGATTTCAATTGCAATATACCTCTTTCCAAAATAAGAAGGTCTTTATAAGTAATCACATCTTGTTTCTGCTCCACACTTATATTTTCTATCATATGTCTAGGTATTGTCCAAACAGGTAATTTATTATTTAATTTATATTGATACTTTTTCCATACACGGAATAATGCATTTCTTAATACATGACTTTTAAAATTCTTATCCATCTTTTTATCATATAGTAAATATGCATGCCATCCATATAACAAATCATACCCTTCAATATTCAATATTCTCTCTTCTGTTAAATTAATCCAATCACTAATTGCTGAGAGCACAGCTGCCTCGTAATACAATCTTAAATTAGGCATTTTGAGACCTCCTCTTTCACGTATATCTTGCATTATTTTCCGTTTTATCCTTGGTCTCTTTCCTGTCCACACAAAATTAGTAATACCCTTCTGCCATTCGTTCAAATTTCCATCTTTTTTCAGTATTGGTATCATTTGGAAAAGAAATAAGAACTTTGGCAAAATATTCATCTTTACTGCAGCTATCAATTGATTCTTTGTTCTTCTGAAATTATAGAGATATTCCCCCGCTGTAAATATTTATCTATATCTATACCTTGAATTTTGTCACTAGTATACAACTTCGTATTGAATTCTGAAAATGCTTTTTAAATCATATTTTGCTGGTACACCTCTTTATCCTTATATTCTATTTTCTCTATAGTACGTAGCTTTTGTTTTTTCCTAAGCAAATATGCCAACCATTTGCCTGGTTTATTTGCATTACAAAAGGAGTTATGTTTGGCATATTGCAAATTAGTTGCTACCTGATCTGCCATCAACATATTAAATTGTCCTCGCAATAAATTAATTGCTTCTTTTGTTTTCTTGTCAGTTGGGTTTAAAATTAATACTTGCTCTTTATTTTTTATTTCTTCTTCTAACTCCTTCCGTTTCCTTTCCCGTTTACGTCTATGTTTATTATTCAAATAAATTAAAATACCTCTCATATATGCCTTACTTGCATCCCAAACCGTCTCCATAGGTGTACCTTTATGCAAATTCATAACAAGAAATTCTTTCATAAATTGTTTACATTCTTTCACATTTTCCTCATATCTAAACAAATTTTCATTCAGCCTCCAGGACTTCCTGGGTGCCTTTTCATATTCTAATTCCATCCAAACCGGACTATGATCTGTTAATGTTCTTGGACATATTTTCGTTTTCTTCACCCTAGAAAAAAATTCATTAGAAATTAATATAAAATCAATCCTGGAAAATGACTGAAGTCTATCAGAAAAAAAGATAAAATCTTTCTCTTCTCTGTTCCTCTCATGCCAAATATCTCTCAACTCCATATCCTCCATCATATCAAAAAAAGATTTAGGCAATCTAGCACGTGATTGAATATTTTGTAGAGATATTTTTTTATCCTTTTTAATATCCAAAACTCCATTCCAGTCTCCCATCATTATATGTGTTTTATAATTCCACTGTATTAATTTAGCATGTACAGTCTTATAAAAACTTTCTTGTTGCTGATTTGGTGCATATAATCCAATCAATAATGTTTTTTTCCCTTCTATTAAGCTTTCAATTGCAATATAACTTCCTTGTGGATCTGCTTCAATTAATTTAGCAAATAAGTCTTTTTTTAGGTATATAACTATACCATTTTTCTTCTCCGGTGCAGATGCTCTAAAATGTGTCCCCAATCTTGCATTTGTTAAATATTTTTGATCTTGCATTCTAATATGTGTCTCTTGTAGGCATATAATATCATTTTTGTACTGCTTCAGATAATGAAATATTTTCCTCCTCTTTTGCAGTGAATTTAATCCATTGACATTCCAAGTTAGAAATTTACTTGCCATTTTTGGCACTTTGAAGCTTTTCAAGCATCAGCTGAAGGTCATCTTTCACTTTGATCTTCGGCCTAGCTCCTCCCACTGCCTCTGATTTTGTGGTTTCTTGTGCTTTGATCTGAGCTTGCTGCACCTTTAATTCCTCTTGGTGTTTCTTTGCTGCTTGAGTCTGCCTTTGATCCCTCGGCTCCTCTACTTTGCCAAATAACTCCACATCTTTGGCAGAGCTCGTAAGTTGTAATAAATCTTCTTCAACAATCGAAACCCCTCCTTGAGCTTCTGCCAGAGCCTGGGTAATTTCTTTCACTCCCATTCTTGTTTCCTCTATTTCCTTTCTTCTTCTGGTTTCTGGGGAAGAGGAACCCCAGAAGCCTTCAATACATTAAAGTAGAAATCCCTTGCTTTCCATAATGTATTAAGACGAAATCTCTGTCCTGAATAATCCACCACCAATCCAGTTGGAATCTGCCATCTATACTGTATCTGACGTTTTCTGAGTTCATCCATCACAAAAGCATAGTCCTTCCTTGCTCTCAACATTTTGGGAGGAATTTCTTTTAGTGTTAGAACTTCTTGCCCTGCCACTTGAAGTTTATTTTTGTAGGAAGCCTGCAATATCATATTTCTTAGCCTTCTTGTTGTAAAGTAAATTACAATATCTCTTGGTAAATTTCTCTGCCTGGCCACCCATGAATTAACGCATAAATTTTATCCATTTGCCAATCCAGATCCTCCTTTCTTTCTTGAATTATCTGTGCAAAGGCTTCTGCAAAGATCTCTCTCAAATTCTCTTGGGTTATTTTCTTTCAGGCCTCTTACTCTTATAGCAAATTCCATCGATCTGTATTGCATCATCATCACCTCTGAGTCTGCTTTTTCTATCTGAGTCTGAACTTCTCCCATTTTATACTCCAAATTCACATTTGATTGATTAACTTCCTCTAGTTTTTCATCTAACCCTTCAATATGACTTGCCAAACCTTTAAATGCAAAATAATGTCTTCTCTAATTGCCTTATTGCGAGCTTGAATCTCATCCTTAATTTCTGTCACTTCTAGAGTTACTTTATCCATTTTATCAGTCACCACTTTTATTTTTTCATCAAGAACAGAAGTAAATTTTTCTTCTAAAGAGAAGGCTTGCAGATTTAAGGCTTGCTGCAAGGCTTTCAGGGTTAAAACTTGTGGTTCTGCTGGAGCTGTCAAAGATTGCGGTTTGGGTGATGGAATAGGGGAGCTCACAGTAATTTTAGCCCCAGCAATCTTTATTTGCTTAGAAGCCATTTTCAAATTTTCAGTTCCAAATTAAAACTTTTACAGCAACCACTCCCAGACGTTAATTTCCAATTAATTTCAGTCCTCAGTAAATTTAAATTTCTTTACAGTCCAATTTAATTCTTCTTTCTTTTGAGACCAGTCTCGTTTATTAGCAGCAGAAACTGTCAGCGCAGATGAGTACTTTGAAGTTAACTTTCGCTACCACACCCAATTAAGACTCGGCGTCATTTCCTTTCACTTTCTTCCCACAGCAATCAAGAAGGAAGTATTCAATACACAGGAGTTAAAGTTTAATACTTGCAATTGGAGTTCCTCCTGTCTTTGCTCTGCCTGCTTTGTATCCAATATCATCATATTCCTGATGATATTCCTGAGGATTTAGATGATGTAGAATCCTCTATCAAGGATGAAGAACAGGAAGTAGGTTTAGAGGAGGTAGTTTTAGGGGAGGAGTCAGATGAACCATCAGCAGTAAGTCCTGTATTACCTAGGAGATCTACTAGGGAAAGGCATCCACCTGATCGATATAAAGCAACCGTAGTTTGCCAGGTTAACATAGAACCTTCAAGTTATGAGGATATCAAGCTTTATCCTGAAAAGGAGCAGAATGCTTGGAAGGAGGCAATGAGTAAGGAAATTAATTCTTTAACTACGTTAGGTGTTTACAAAACTGTGAAATTGCCACCTGGTGAAAAATTAATAGATTGTAGATGGGTTTACAAAATTAAGAAAAGCATAGATGGGACAGTAACCCATAAAGCTCGCCTTGTAGCTCAAGGTTTTTCTCAGACCGAAAAAGATTTTGATGAGGTTTTTGCTCCTAGTTTACGTGTTAGTACTTTA